ATGAACGAAATTAAAGACTGTGAGCTATGATCGTTTCTTAAACGTATCAAATAGGATTTCGATAAGAGGTGATACCTTGTCACATTTCGGGCAACCATCAAAGAATTATCTAGGAAATTCCACCTGTTCCATCCTAGCAACCGAACAATATGCCCTCGGCGAGTGAGAAACCACGCTATTCGCGGACCGTAACGCAAATTTGCAGCGGGGGAGGAATAAATTTGCATTAGCACATCACAACAGAAACCACAAAAACACTACCAGTGCATATTGCAAAAACAGTTTTATATACATGTTGATGTCATGTTTTCCTTTATGCCTTAAGAATATCAACTGATTCACGAACCAGACAGACCCAAAAGCATTCATCGCGTCAAGCCACATTTGTAGGGCGAGAGACTTACTATGATAGCCTGAAGTCAGAAAGCAGACCAGTGAAGGTGGAAGGTCGCTTTTTAACCCAATTCCTGGCCACCTAGAGCGCTCACCGTTAGCAGTCTTAATTAACAATCTGCCTCCAAATAAGCCATCTTTGGTTTACATCATTTGTTTAGTCATGAACCAGTAACGGTGGTGTTGTCAGTCCTGTGAGATAACCATGGTGTGGTGATCGTGAACCGCCAGAAAATCGGCTCCAGTTTAGCCAAAAGCGAACATAAAGACCAGATTCTGATGCATCGACCGCGTGGACACACTGGCAAACGGCAATTGGCGAGATAAGAAGTAAGTAGAATTTTCTTACCATAAACGGATACTTGAAAGGCATTCTGGGATGTAGTAGCTGACTTGGATGCCGATGCAGAGGACGCAACTTGCATAGTGCCCAGGCACCTACAAGCTGCCCAACACTCGAAACCGAACGACGACATCTCTAAGGTGATCTATCGCTTCAGAATCACAGCCACTCGTGCGATGACCTTGTGGATGAAGTAAGACGAACTCCTGGTGGTCAACTGCTTCCGGACTGATGAAGTGGGCAGTTTATCCTATTTAAGTACGTATCATTTGACAGAATAACCAATTTAAAACATTCAGTTGAAACGAGTACATTAGAATAGCGTACGACCCCCTCACGTAACGTTAAGATCATAGTCTCTGACTGTACTAAACCTGTGCACCAACCGAATATACGTTGACAGGGGTTAAAACACATTTGTTGGCATAATGCCTAGGCAAAATGCATGGTGTCTGACCCCATTTTCAATCTAGTCTGATTTAGACAACCAAAGCTCTGTGCTAATAATCACAGAAGTGCAAGTTCGTGCAGGCTTATTGGGTGTAAAGCGACCCTGGCCAGCATATGACAACAAACTCATCAAATCAGTTGACACGCACCTCCTGTTTTTATTATTAAACCAGGCATTCCTTGCGGACCGACCAATTCTGAGATTTTGAGACTATAATTTACTTTTACTAAGACCGCATGTTACAGCGTAAAAGAACGTATAACTAGCGACAATGCGAACACACGCACGAGCGAGATCGCTCGATTGAGAGAGCTACTTACTTAAGGGCAATTTAAGTTGACAGCACACATAATGCATTTGCATGTTTAATGGAAGTTCCTATAGGCATAGATTGGAATAAGAGGTCGAAAAAACATTCGGTCTATGCGCAGAAAGCGTGGAAAACGACCAATCTTGAACCATGGCTAAAAGGCCCTCAAAGAGCAGAGTGCATGCACATGGAAAATATACCGATAAAACGCAACAAAAAGGAAACCCTATAGGTATAGGGCATTGGGACATAGCTAAGAACAGCCATCTTACCTGGTACTTGAGGTCGGAAAAAAAGGGAGCAACGTCCTCGCCAGGCTTTAGATTCGCCCCATTCAGGTGACCGAAGCACACTATATCTCCGTGTTTGAGGGTAACGCCTCCCGAGACTCGCATGTAATTTATGTATGTGCCATTCATGCTGTGATCGTATAACATGAACCCTCCATTGAGCAGTCGTTCAATCGTGGCATGATTCCGAGAAATCATTCTTTTGTTGATACAACTTTCAATTGTGTAATGGGGCGGATTTGT